GAAATGCAGTTCAAGGACATTTAAAACAGTTAAGCAAGAGGAAAAGCAAAACTGATGTTCAGTTACATTTTCTGGGTGGCATGTTGGGCTCATGGTGTGGAAGTGACCCTTTGAAAAGGTTAATGTCAAAGCAACTGCCTCCGCCGTTAGTGAGACGCTGAGCCTTTCCCTTAGGACGTGATTAAGTCTTTGAGAAGCTTGTAGAGGTGTTTCTGGAAGCTGTCTGCTGTGGATTCCCTCTCAACTGCTGAACATGCCACACTGTTAATCTCACTTCTGTGCCCTTAGTTCCTCTTCGTAAAAAGATTGTTGTTTCTTGTTTTCTGCTCTCATTATTTCCACCTCTCTCCACCCCCTTCCCAAGATTCTACTGTGAGAACAAAGTTGGAGACATAAGGAGGAGTGCAAGAGTACCACAGACAGGTAGAAGCAGAGACTCTGCAGCGTGTTATATCTGAAAGCTCATTAACACCCAGTCTTCCAAGCTTGAGCCTAGGAGACAACGGCCATGTGTAATGACTGTGCAGCCTCTACTTAAGTAGCTCCACTGTCATGGAACTTATTGCTCCTATAGCTTCCCTCTGCATCTTTGGAAGCCTCTGAATATAAGAATATATTTTTAAAGTGACCTGAAATCTGTCCTCCTATAACTCTTACCATTAAAGTCTAGCTTTCTGGAACTGTATAAAACAAACCTAACCATCTTTGTCTAGCAGCACTATGAAAATAGCCAACCCAGGCCCCATGAACAGGAATGAATTCGAGTTTTATGAGACCTCACATTTATCCAATTTGAGAGCCTCTCTTTAAGAAAACTAATATAAAAGTATTTACAAAGTTAGGTGCAAAAGTAATTTTATCTTCAGTAGAAAAACATAATAAAATATAGATTTTTAAAAGCTAACAATAATCCAGATATCACAAAAGTCAGAAAAAAACAATTTTATTAATTGCCCAATAAATCTCATTATTTTCTATTTCCTACATTTTTTGAATTAACTCTTAATAATCATTTTGTAGTCTTATTTTTCAAAGCAGAAATAAAAAGATAATTCAATCTTGTCTTTATCATCAGAATTTTTTTTTT